ACTGGCGAAGCCAGGGCTAGTGTTGACTGCGTCCAGCCAGACCTGAGAGGGTCGACTGTGTGTTGTGTGAGGCGATGACGGCTGCTTTGAGTAGGATTGTGGAGCAAGTTCAAGTGGTTTGCTATTGGTGTGGTGCAATTGCCCGAGGGAATGTCACCCGCAAAGGCCCCCTGCTGCGTTGGCCAAAGAAATGGCCTGGTAAGTGGCCCTTGGGAGGGCGTGCTTATTTGGACGCGCGTGTGTGCGTGACTTAATAAGCTGAGGTTAGCTGGGGAGGGGGTGTATCGCCGAACGCCAAAGGACAGAGGACGCTGGCACAGCTGTTATCGGTTAGCCAGAAGCACCTGCGAGGTGAAGCCTCGGGGGACGTGGGCGCCAGTGAAAGGAAGCAGTAGAACAGTTGTTTGTGGTGACACATGACTCTGGGGCAGCGTCAATCAATGGACACTTTCCGGTCGGTACGGCATTAACTCCTGCCCCTCTTGTTTTTGTCGGTAATAAAGTTCAGTCACAATGCAAGCCAAAAGCCCCTAAAAATGTCACTATAAACACCTTACTGTAATTATTTCAGTAGAACTCATATATCTTTCAAATGTTTACAGGAGAAAGTTGTTAGACACAGATCCATGGATTGAAACAGGACGGTTTAGGTGTCATAGTATTCATTTAACGGGGGAACAAATCTTAGTCAGACGGCGATCGTTTAGGCCAAAAACTATTTGCCTACTAAAAAGAAATTTTTAGCTAAATTAAACTTCCAACCTATTTCAGCTATTCCGTTCAGAGGTACGATTATGAGCTCGATTGCTCCCAATCGGCCACACAGAATGAATACTGACGCGTCTGCGCCCTCCCTCCCTCCTCCAGCTTACTCTCATTTTCCATCTGTGAGGGCTCACTTTCTTGCCCAACCGAAGCTCTCCTTTCACTTTCTGTCCTCGCGGACTTCAGCCGTGGTTTGAGGAGAGCTTTCCGCTGTATAGTCAACGATGACAGCTCTGACGACAGGGCTAACTTCCCCAGAATGCAGTCTGTCAGTTGGCTGGCTTTGCTACATTCTCTGCACAGGAGGTCCGGGCCTATGGGCGCTGGCTTTTTGGGCGTCATAGCAGTCCCACAGATTGGTGG